ATGCTATTAGAAGATCATTCTGTCTCTGCAAATTGGCATGCGAAAAGGGATGTATGCCAGAGAAAGTGACCTGTGTAATGCAGTCAAGACATCATGATAACCAGCAGTGTGGATACTTATAACATGGAGCATCACTGGGCAGCAAGAACCTTGTGCTAATAAAAACCTGGGTAGACAATACAATTCTTTTTGTTTACGAAACAAAGATTTACAAGTCCCATTTCATTGCCCTAAAGATTCTGTTCTAGAAACATAAGAAAGAATTAAAGTTAACAGATCCATCCAGGCATGAGCTGGCTGAGTTAGGTGTTATTGGACCTACATAGAATGCCTTTGATTCTGCACTAGTAAACTCTCAGTTAAGACTTTGTACAATTCCTCTTTTGAGTTTCATCTTTCAGTCACTAACAGAAAAGAAAATTCAAGGAAAAAGAGAGATGAGATGAATGAAGAAGAAATATGTTGGTACAATGAATAATGGTGGTATAAGGTCCTAGGGTAAATTTTAAAAATCAGGAGGAAAGTGACATACTCAAGGTGATACAAACCTTACTGAGCTTTGGTCTGTCATAAGGCAAGTGTCTGTCCATCGTGCACATTACAATCCTGTCTGAGAAACCCTCCTGGCGCAAGGTCTCCGCACAGACTAACCCAGCTGCACCTAAGAGAAGACAACGAGTATTAGCTATATATCTGTTGTAGTTGACAGATGAAAATACTCAAGGGCTAAGAACAGTGATCCTGAAACTGTTCCCCAACAGCAAGTGAAAGATGTCATTCTGGGTTTGAAACAGAACTTGATCAGTTTAGAAAACAGAGGATATGGCATTGCACCTGCAAGGGCAGAGGCTTGGAGTTAGCAATGCGGCCAGACCTATGTCCTGTGTGTCCGTGAACCCTTTGCACCCTAAACCTGGCATCCCACACAGAGGCTGATTCTAAAATCACTGCCTCCATTAAGTCTTGACCTTACTTTACGGCACCTCCTAAGTCAAATGGCATATGGCCCCTTCTAAAAAAAGGATACAGCCATTTGCATGGGAAAGACTGTCTATATTTCCATGCCCAAGGCAGGAAGAGGGATACTTTGTCCATGTGAACGTTACTATGGGACTTCTTGAGAACTTGTTCAATCATATACATTCCCCTAGTTTGAAAAGAGTCATTCACTTGCAGCCTTTCCCTCTGCACCCTAGCAGTCCTTGTCTCTCAGCTTGAACATACAGCTGCAGCTCTACAATGTGGCAGAACCAAGATACCAAACAAAACGGTCTCTAGCTTTTCCAACTTTTTTTCCAAAAATCATTTGTTGACCAAGTTTCTAATGAGTTTATACCCAAATACCAGAGCAAGAAGTTCTCCAAGAGCCTCAGTGGCAAAGGGCCAGTAGGTTACTGCTGGTAGTTTCTGCACATGTATGCCTGCCACTAAAATGGGCCCAGATCCTCCATCACAGTGTGCCTCCACGCAGGCCAAAGTGCTGGTCACACGCTTCATTGCAGAGGATTTTGTACCTAATTTCTTGACAGGAAGGTGGGAAGGGGGTAAACATAGAAAAAAGGTGAGATGCGAGCCTAATCTCTAACATTGCTCCCTGAACGAGAGGCTTGAGATAGAGGATGATAATGTAAGGGCCCCACTCAAATAAGTTGCTACCTGAGAGTGTGCTATCCCACCTGCAACCAAGCAGCCTGATATGGCACAGCCCTTCTTACCTGGCCAAACAGATGAGCTATGAAATGCCAAGTCAGAAATCCTGAGTCTCTTTTCAGCCTAGGAAGCCTTGTTCCATAACAAAGATTGTAAGAGCCACAGTTTCAGTAATACTAATGAAGAGAAGATGAACCTGGACACTCTATCATGTTTCGGTTTGTCAACACCATGCTCCTACTGATGAAGCCAGGGAATGGTGGAAGAAGAGGAAGCAGGGTGCTCGTCTTGTTTGTGTTGCCTGGAGAACATGCTGAGCAAGGATTGACTCTGCGCTGATTCCAGTACTGCAACTCTAATGAGCCCTCCTTGAAAATTCAAATATTTGACAGTAAAAAACTCATCCAAATCTAAATGGATTTCAACATGGATAACGGAAGAGGACATTTCTGAATGAAGTACTGTAGCAATGCAATTGATAGCTTTGAGCAACTTAAATCAATGGGCTGCTGTTGCCTGCCCTCAGCTCTTTTAAGCATGGCTACATGTCACTCCTTGACACAGCGTTGGATAGGCAGTCCTTTCTCATCACTTCTTCATGCATCAGGGTTTGAAATCTGCTTTCCTGTTGACCAGAATTAGATCTTGATCTTTAAAAGAGCTGAAACTTTTAGCTGTTCAAGCCTGAGAAATCTCTCTCAGTAACTGCTAACATTATCTGCTGGATAACTTAGGATTCTAATTGGCTTGGTTCATTTAGCCACATCTCACTCCCAAGACAGGCCCACTGACCTCAGAATGCATGAGTGTTAGACTTCAGCTTTTATTCAACAAAGAGAAGGATCACAAGGAAGATAAAAATGTTGCCCAGCAGCAAGGGAAGAGCAGGCCAGACTGGTTATTCTGGCCTCTACTCAGCTGCGGGCTGTGACTTAGCTGGAGTGGCAGATCACAATGTGCTCTGCATTTCTACAGTTTGGATTTGGTGGCTTGGGGGCTGTAATCTATTGAGAATAAACCACATGCCCAGAGCAGCTGTTTTCTCCCAGTCCCAGGTCTATCACAGAATAGCTTGTTTCCTCCCAGCCCCTTCCATTTCACCAAGCGCCATTTCACTAAAGGATATGATCTAGCCTAGTGTTCAACCAGCTCCAGAAACAGGCAAACTCTAAATGGGATTCTCTCCATAAGTCTATCCACAAGAACTGCATTGTGTAGTGCTGCCAGGTTGCATGGAATTATTTCCAGTTTTAGAAACAAGTGTCAACTCCTATGCAGCTGGGACCAGTTGTCACACATTGCAATTGCAGAGTTGTCAGGGAATCTGCACATCTTTGCATAAAATCTGCATGACAGATGCACTTGAGATGGCAGTCCCACATTGACTCTCAGGTCCCTGGACAAAAACTCCCAGAATTTGCTCACTACACATTGGTTCAATATCCTGGTCTGCAACCTGTGTACTTTGCAAAATACATACCACGTTACCACAAGTACACGGTGTCCCTCCAGCCTCCCTTCTTCCAAGCTCCTCTCTCAAATTTGGAGCTCTAGATTTGGTTACATGAGGAGGACTCTATGAAATATTTCCATTATTAACATCATCTCATTGCTTTGGATAGTATTTGTTAAATGGAAACTCCAGTTCCAAGGAGCTGATGTAAGCACAGAGTTGGTGGTACAAGCTCTCAGCAGAGGAGAAGGACAGAGTACTTCCAAGGAATACAGAAGACTGAAGCTCCCAGAGCCTGGTCCCCCAGCTCCATGAACTCCAATTGCACCAAACTGGTGAAAGAGTCCTGTTTTATTAACCGTGCATTGGGACAGTATGACTGCGATTCGAAAAGGAGCTGGGACAAGGGATGGAAAAAGATGGCCTGGCAGCTTTGCTATTCTGTGCAGGGATTTGATGTTTACTGGGAAGATGGAAGAAGTTCTCTTCAGAGAAGCAGCTTGATGTAATAGCTTTGGAGTAGGCACATACAGTGGAATTAGACAGAGGTGTGCAGGCCCCAAAAGGGAAATGTATATTCACATCACAGGAACATTTGAGAGGACTTTAAATGAATTATTTGTGGAAATCAGGGGTTAGTAATGCATCTAGGGAGTGTGCAGAGGGAACAGGGCTAAGTGTGTCCACAATGAAGGACTGTGACGGGGAACTATAAAGTTCCACAGACCAGGAGCACAGCAACACTGTTAAAGGACTATCAGTATCCGGGTCAGAAAGCCCCAGGAAGATGCTCTGGTCTGATCTTTTGCATAAGCCAGGCCAGGAAGGAAGGGAGAAGGTGAACGGCACACAGATACCAGGACAGATACCATCTTCTCTGCACACCCTTTCTGAGAGAGGGACACACACTGGTCTTTCGGTACATGCCACTCGATACCTGCACCGACGATCAGCACGTTGGTACTGCTCAGGTTATAGTTGCTCAAGGAGATGCACTTTGCCATCATCTTTGTCCTCCTCTGTATCTGAAGAGCCTGTGCCATAATCAGTGAGAACAGTCATTAACCATTCACAGCTTTAACCTGTGTAGCCAGGTAGGAATGGGGACAACTACCAATGTTGTTATAAAAAAGCTTGGATAGAAAGGGAACAACCACATTCTTGATGCCTAGCAAGGTCTCCAAGCCCACGCCCAGCCAAATACCTTTTCATTACTCAGTGCGCTATCCCCTTCCCAGGTACAAAATAAAAATAAATCCACTATCTTCTGTAAATTTATCCAGGGACAAAGCACTGGGAAAGAATACAAGAAAAGCAGCAGAGGTGTGTCACTGGGTAATTCTGCAATCAATGGGTAAAACGAAAATGCAGAAGTTCCATCAGGAACTATATTCTTCACTTGAGTAGGGCTGATATACCTCTGACATTCAAAGAAACTTACGTAAGGCAGAATTATGGACTCATCCAACCTACCTCATTCCTCCATGCACCTGTATCAGCTGGGACAGAAGCGTTACCACACCAGTCACCTCTCTGGACCTAACCCCATAAAGTGATGCTATGGATCAGATTAGGCCATAGTTCTAAGCTGCTAGATTTACACACATATAAATGCAAATGTAAATCAGTATTAGATTCTTTACAGAAAGGGAGACGAGGGCACTGGCCTGACCGTGCTTCATTCTGGATCATAGCTGAGAGCACGAGAGCCCTCACCTGACCCTACACTGGGTTCCTCTCTAGCAAACAGAGCTGTTGTCTGTGCTCAGGAAGGGCACAGATGACCTCTGTCATCACTGTGCTTCATTCATATCCAATAGACCAGGCCAAAAAGATGATAGGAGAGGCTCATTTCCATGGGCTAACTAAACTAAAAGTTGCTACAAGCTCAAGTGAAGACAGGACAAGCTCATGAAAGAAATCTCCATTAAAACTTCCTGAATTCACAGATACCACATATGGCTCAGGAGTTCCAGAGCTACAGTGTTTGGAGGCTGGGAAGGTGCAGGCAGCAGGAGGGGAAGAATATCATGCGTGCCTGCCCTGTTCTCAAGCTCTCATCTCCGTATGAACTTTGGGCCTTTGTGTGAGACAGTATACTGGGCTAGGTGGACCATTCGTTTACCTAGTTTGGATGCTCTCACGTCCTTCTGTTTAGGCACTTCTTTGCCTGTCAGAGGGCTCAAAGGAAAGCATCCACCCCAACATGCACACAGAACAAGCCACAGGCCTTGTGTTTGGGATACCAATGGCTGCTCTGCCTCTCACCTGCTTGCTTGCTCGGATGTATACCTTCTCCTTCTCAATCTTCACCTGAGGGTGACAGAATAGCAGCAGTTTGTAGGACAGTGAGTATCTTTGGTTTGAAGAGGGTTATTTTTCCTTCTGTGCAAAAACTATTGAAAAGAGCAGTGGTCTCATCAGCCCAGCTTCACTGCATGCCTTGTGTGAGAGCTGGAGAGGCCATCACAGGACTTGTCACAGCTCAAGGCATTTCCTGTCTAATAATATCAACCATGCAATGTTGCTCAATGTAGAATACACCTTTCTTTACCTGATGTCTATCTCGGGTTTACAGCTGGTTTCTCAGCACCACTGTATTCCCACATAAGAAACCTCCTAGACTGTGAACTTCCACCCTCAGCTTCCCAGGAAGTGTCTGGTGCCCATGGATGGATGCAAGCAGAATGGCAATGGGAGCTGTAGGGACAAAGCAGGGGTGGACAATATGCTCACCATTTGCCATCCCACCATGTGCTTGGGAAATGTTTGCTCCACACCTTCAAAAACTGTTTACCCCAATGCAAAGAGTCATTTCATTTGCTGCAAGAATGAAGCTCTCACCTGGAATCTGGGTAAGCTGTCCAAGCCAGGAAAGTCCTCTATATCACCTGTGCTGATGTTGAAGCAAGCCCCATGCCAGGGACAGCGGACTCTTCCTTTAGACAAAACCCCTGTATGAAACGTGGCAGAACAGAGTTAGCACTTCCCTGTACCTGCTTCCTTCCCTCCCTAGAACCCTGCTGAGATCTAGCTGCTGTGATCTGGCCAGGCCATGGGAGGTAGAGGTCAGGTCTCTCCCCTGCTATTTCAGTGCTGAAGTGCTCCTAGGCATCTTCACAAACTGAGTGCAACTGCTGAGCTAGTCTGACCACTCGAAAGTCAGAGGCTGCTACCCAGGGCTTCCTGCAGCAGCAGGAGCTATGCTACTCAACACAGAGTAGTTTCAAAGTCCAGATTTTACAGTCAAGTCTCTGTGACGCTCCTCTCTTTATCCAGAAGTGTCTTCTGTCCTGCAGGACCCACAGCAGTGCTCCTATTTGGATCTGGATCAAGACAGTCAACTGCATCTTGGCTACTTGATGTGGGCTTCTCTAACTTGCACATGGTACTGGTCCAGCAATTTGGGATAGAGGGTGAACATAGTTACCAACTTGGATCCTTATGAGGGATTCCTTTTAAAATCCCCTCACTGACAGACCTCTTCTGGTGTCTCTGAGCACAGCTTCACAAACTGTCTATTTGGTTCAGAACATAATCTCACCCTCTGGCAGGGCCTTGGGCTGCCATCTCCCGGGACTTCTAGTCACCTCTACAGGCCTCAGTACCACCATCCACTTCAGGAACAATGGTATCACCCTGAGCAAACAGCTGCCTCAAGTAAAGTATCATTTAACTAGAATAAGCATATTTCAGAACAGATCCCGACATAGCAGAGTCTGTACCCTACCAAGAAAGCACAGGTGATGTTCAAAGCAAAGAGTTTTGCTCATTGTGAGTGCCTCCAAGTGTTTGCTCAGAAGCTGCTACTTTAGACTTTGGAATTTGTGCCTGAAAGATCTCGCCGGCAGAGTGAACTGCTACAGTCCTGCTATGCTGGGCATGTCCTGAGTTTGTGCCTTTGTTTGCTGAGATACAGCATTGCCAAGCCTCTTCATTCAACATACATGCGGATGTGGAGAAAGCCCCTGTACTTACTTTTGCAGCATTTCCTAGACTCCCCGGGGAGAGATTCCTGTACAAGTGGCACTGTTTCAGGGATCAATCTGCAGGACTCAGGCGGGGAGGCAGGCTCTCACCTCCTTTTGCCACAGGAAAAGAAGTAGTGTGGGGATCTTCTATCCTGGTCAGCAGGTTGCTAACCCCAGACAGAGATGCCTAAACAAGTCTGAGAGCAAGACAGCCTGCATGCAGCATTCCCAGCATTCCCTCCAGCTGGGAGAGCTGTGCAAGGAGGGGATTCAGAAGGATACATAGGTCTGTAACATGATCCACTTGTCCTTACTCAATAGGGGATGTGCACAAATCAAGAGAGAAGTACTCCCTTCTGAGACGCTGAGGGCCTTGTCCTGTAATTCCTCTCCAGAGGAGAAAGCCACTCACTGTGTAACAGTAGCCTTTACTGCATCTCAGATCCTATTTCTGTGAGACAGCTTGGCCAGCTTGGATATGCTCTGGACCTGGCTGAACGTACCGGTACCTACAGTTGCCAGCACCAGTAGCTCTTGCTTCACACAGATGAGAAACTCTTCAACCAGCAGATCAGATTCCCAAAGAACAAGCTCCTTCCTCAGACCAGCAAGCAGGCTGTTCCACTTGCATGCATGCAGCAGACTGAAGAGCTTCTCTGCTAAATTAACTAGGCATCTTCCCCAAGATCTACCCTTCAGCAAAATACCACAATTTTAGTGAAGTACTACTCATGCACGCAGCAAGGTTGGCACTACCTGCTGCTGTTACTCAGGGTTTTGGTTAGTGGCCTATTTGGCCTGAAGCCCATGTTGTGGGAAAGTGCCACGATGCATATTCTTAAGTGCCAAGATGGCAAACCATTGTACACCATCCCACTCCAGTCAGTAAACCAGACATATTTCTTCTTGTTACTGAAAGTATCCAGTCAATCCAAAGAGTTTCCCCCTTCCAGGATTTGTTTTATAGCAAGTTGTGGGTTTGTGTTTAACACTGAGCAGCCTGAAAAATTATAAAACTCAGAAGGTGATTCTTATTCTTTCAAAGCAAATTTTTAACTCCTCTGTGGCAAGGAACCAATAAACAGAACAATATGAAAATCCTTGTAAAACCAAGCTTTGCTTGGAGACAATGACTTAGGGCTGTGAAACAGTCAAAAAAAGGGTCAGCTCCCAACTGAAGAACAAAACAAACGTCAACTTTAATGATATTGTGCAGTTCTGTTCTTCAAAGCCACCCAAAGAAACTTCAGCCCTGCTATTGAGGAGTGACTATTTGGTGTTATCAGCAAATCAAGCTTGAGGTAAAGTGCCTGCAGGAGGCTTCTGCACTCTCACCTTTTTTTTCCCCTTTCACCAAAGGGAAATCATGCTTGACCAATCTGATAGCCTTCTCTGATGGGATGATATGCTGGATAGATGAGGGCAGAGCAGTGGATGTTGCCTCCCTGGACTTCAGCAAGGCTTTGGACACCGTCTCCCATCACACCCTCATAGGGAAACTCAGGAAGTGTGGGTTGGATGAGTGGACAGTGAGGTGGATTGAGAACTGGCGGGATGGCAGAGCTCAGAGGGTTGTGATCAGCGGCACAGAGTCTACTTGGAGGCCTGTAGCTAAGTGGTGTCCCCCAGGGGGCAGTCCTGGCTCCAGTCTTGCTCAACGTATTCCTCAATGACCTGGAGGAAGGCACAGAGTGCACTCAGAGTGCACGTTTGCCGATGATACCAAACTGGGGGGAGTGGCTGACACACCAGAAGGCTGTGCTGCCATTCCAAGGGACCTGGACAGGCTGGAGAGCTGGGTGGAGAGGAACCTCCTGAAGTTCAACAAAGGCAAGTGCTGCAGGGTCCTGCACCTGGGGAGGACTAACCCCCTGCACCAGGACAGGCTGGGGGCTGACCTGCTGGAAAGTAGCTCTGCAGAGAAGGACCTGGGAGTCGTGGTGGACAACAAGATGAGCATGAGGCAGCAGTGTGCCCTTGTGGCCAAGAAGGCCAATGGTATCCCGGGTTGCATCAGGCAGAGTGTTGCCAGCAGGTGGAGGGAGGTGATCCTGCCCCTCTCCTCAGCCCTGGGGAGGCCTCACCCGGAGTACTGCGTCCAATTCTGGGCTGCTCCCCAGTACAAGAGAGGCACGGCACTACTGGAGAGAGTCCAGCGGAGGCCTACGAAGATGATGAGGGGACTGGAGCACCTCTCCTCTGAAGAAAGGCTGACAGAGCTGGGCCTGTTTCAGCCTGGAGAAGAGAAGACTGAGAGGGGATCTCATCAATGTATACAAATATCTAAAGGGGGAATGTCAAGAGGATGGGGCCAGACCCTTCTCCGTGGTGCTCGGTGACAGGACAACGGGCACAAACTGAAACACAGGAAGATCCATTCTGAACACGAGGAAAAACTTCTTTCCTGTGAGGGTGACGGAGCACTGGAAGAGGCTGCCCAGAGAGGTTGTGGAGTCTCCTTCCCTGGAGCTATTCAAAACCCGCCTGGACGCGATCCTGGGCAAAGTGCTCTAGAGGACCCTGCTTGAGCAGGGGGGTTGGACTGGATGATCTCCAGAGGTCCCTTCCAACCTCAACCATTCTGTGATTCTGTGTAATATGTGTTTCCCTCACCAAGAAGATGCCTGTACAAAGCTGGCCATGAGGCACTGCACTGGCCCAGGCCCAGGCAGCTCAGCTGGATGAATGCAGGGTTGTCTTTTGCAGATACTTTGATTCCTGTTCTTAATGTCATATCAAGTGACACAGACTGACCTTTCACCAGCGGGGCCCCATAGTGAGGGCATTTGTGTCCCATTGCATAGAATTCACTGTTCTCCTTTATCAGTAGAGCCTTCCCACAGCCCAAGTCCACTTCTCGCATCCTAAGAAGAAAGAGCAAGGAAAGCATATGCAATGGCACGCACCTGGATCGTTCATCTCACTACATACTTTCACTTTTACATACGTTCACTGCTCTGGCCAGCTCCCGCTTCCCTTTAACTCACTTACTGGTGTCAGTCGCTCCTGTTACATAGCTGATTCTGGAAGTCGCTCTGGGCTGCTCACAGCCTGGGCCTGAGCCAAAGCTGGCTTACTGAGTGGCAGCTTCTCCATCTTACCGGCAGTATGGTTTTTCCCCTCAGCACTCTCCCTAGGAGGTAGCTCCAGAGCCCCTACTTAGTTGGTTAGAAAGCAGCTGCTGGGTTCCACAGGAGTCATGGGAGCTAGAAACCAAACTGTTTTTAGTGTGGCATTACATCTCTTCCTGGTGTCTGCAGAGCAGGGAATGGGCTGCAGCTCAACAAATCCTTATCAGGCCTCCATTCACCCAGACAGTCAAAGTAAAGACAGCATTTCTGAAATCAGAAAATCAGGTAGTGCCCAGAAGAGGAATCTCTGGTTGTTTTCTGTACTTTGGCCCTTGGGTATGTCAGTGCCTCACTCTTCTTATTCTTCTGTGCACTGGCAAAGCATGGGCTGCCCCACTAACACACAGAAAGAGATGTCAAGTCAAAAGGACAAGATTAGTCATCAAGCATTGCTGAAATCTTAGCTTTAACAAGTCGTGCTCTGTTGAGCAAAGGTGACTCTGGTTCTGTCACAGTGTCAAAAATGGGAGTCACATTTTTCTGTTAAAAACCTCAGGACAGCAAATACCCACACTTGACCCCATTGCTGATTTCCTCTGCAATTTTTGCTCATGAGAACTCACAAACCAACTCCTTTCCTGCTCTTGGATTTGTTAGCCCTTACTCTGCATTACAGATGGGACTTTCTTTCCCTGCTGATGCCTGCATCCAGAGCCACATTTGCATATGAGCCATTTTAATCACCACACAGTTCTCCAGCAGCCAGTCAGGTGCTCTTTGAAAGCCAGCAACTGCAACTGTTTGCAGTGATACCCTAAATGTTATCATCTAGACTTAAAAGTGATTAGCACAGCAGGAACTCCTTATACACAAAATTCGCATTTTTCAGGCCTTCTGAGTCCCACCCCCAACACACACTCTGGAGTGTATTCACTCAGCTCTTTCTCTACAAGCCAAACCGTGCTGAAGCTCTGGACACCACTGTCCGGGTCAAAAGTGTGACTTTGCCAATCACGCATCCTATCTGTAAGGACAGAAAAAGCTACTGCAGCATCCTCACCTCCTGAATTAGTGATTAATAATGTCATTAGTCCTGGAAAGTAGCCTTTTAGAAAAGCCTTTTTTCCTCACTTGGCTTGAGTGAGACAGTGGGAATTGATCTGTAATTCACAATTAGAGGACACCATTTAACATAAATCAATTCCTGATCAACTTCCAAGAAACCTCCTGCGGTTCCTTTCTCTCTTCTCTGTTTGCCTCATACGACGGTAGTAGAGAATGATGCCTGGAATAGACTGGTGTTTCATTTCCAGTATGTCCAGCATACAAATGAACCAAAGTCCCAGCAGCTGAAGGGAAATAGCTTTGTAGGCTTTGCTGGAACTATCCTCCAGTTTGCAACACTCAGGCTCTGCAGGGCTGTGTTGATTGATACACACCTCTGTACAGTGAGCAGTTTGGGTGCAGTATTTCAGAACAGCTGGTGCATTTGCTCACACTAGCCTGCTGCTCAGAGCTCTCTCTGCGAAAGGCATGCCCTCTCCCCAGTGCTTGGGGACCACAAGCTGTTGCCCCTCAGTGGGGCCCAGTTTTGCCCCTTCACTGTGCTTGCTTCAGGCTGGCTGGGCATATGTTTTCTGATGCAGCTAGAACAATTACTCTTATTTGCAAGCATTTCCAGTCCCTACACATCATACATAGAAATGCCATAGAATAGGGTTGCGTTCAGGCAGTTGTGATACAAATGTAATCAAAGAAGAATTTCTCATACCTAAACAGCCCCTAACTATGACACTGGGCAGTTTCACCACCCAGTGAAATATATGACTTGAAACTGTATCAGCAGATCATGTACAGGAGGCTGCCCATTGCTCTTCTCTCTGTAAGTATGGAGCTCGGGATGGAGAAGGCTTTAGTGCCCAAGGGCTCTGTTGCACACCTCCACTTCTTCTGCCCAGGAACAGTATATTTTTGTTAGGGGATTTCTAGAGATTTCTAGCCACAGGGGCAGTGCAGGCTACACAAGGATTGTTAGATGAGACTGACTTTGCCCAGGACTGAACAGCAGTTTACTCCAGCTCTCTGCTCTCTCACTATGCCTCCATTAGACCTTCATTCCAACCTGTCCTATCCTCACCGCCTTTTCTCCCTATGCGGCTACTCCCTTTCCAACAAACAGCCCACAACACCCAATACACCCTGCCTGCCAGTGCAGTCCCCAGACCTGTGTGAGGTGCTGAATCTCTTCCCAATCTGATTATCAGAAGCTGTTTCCCTAAGGTAGAGTCTTTCAGCTAATAGTCAAGGAACGCAGAGGAGAGACAAGGAGTGAGCCCTGCTCTTGTAGGGAGCTGGGCATAGAGCTAACACAGATCTGCTTTTCCCTGCCTGGAAGAGAGGAGGACATCTCCTCTCTTCTACCCAGAAATCTTATCCCAGCAGAATCTGATGTTTATCTGGAAATCATGACTGTTCCCATTGGACTAAGTGGACCATCAGCACAGCAAGCCTAGCATATATGATGTACTGTATACATCACTGGTGTATGCACAGCAAATTTTGTACTCAGGAAATCTACTGGCCATGTGCAAGCCACGAGTGCTGTACATACATGTTAGGTCTCTAGGTCTCAGACAAATTGGACTCACTTTGCTTGTGCACATTTGCTTATTTCTGTTTGGGTAACATGATGACTCTGTCTTGTCATCTCGACTCTATCTTGACTCTATCTGCATCCAGGCTACAGAGGACCCTCCACCCACTGTCTTCTGCACCACCATGGAGGTGAGACCAGTGCTTAGCCTATGAGCCCACCTGAAACACCCAAACGTACCTTGAGCAAGTCTTCAAGCATGTGCCTGCTTCACCTACATGAATTGTCCCCGTAGAGTAAAGCTAAACGCTTAAGTTCCTTGCTACCTCAGGCCAAAAGAGCAGCACAGTTCATCAGACTTGCCCTTTGGAGCCATTTTGTTCAAGTAAATTGCCCTGGAACCCCTATTCCTGAGCAATGCAGCTCTGTTCTCTCTCTGTCTAGGATACTTGGCACTTAGACATCCTTCAGTCAGCACATTGTGAATAAACCAGTACAAGTCCTACTGCATTCCTCAGCTGTGCAGTATTTCAGATAAAACCTGTGGTTCTCGTTAAATGACAACCACAACCTTACAGAAAGATTAGATAAGTGAAAGAGTTTACAACTTACCTAAGGAACTGCATGATCTGAGAGAGTCAAAAACAAGACCTGGCACCTTGAAGGCAATACAAAGCCATCTGCAAGACACCTCATGACATGTCAATTCCAAAAGTGAGTGAGACACTGATTTATACTGAAGTGTTCCCAGCTGAGCTATTTATTCACTTGGGAAACCGTCCTGTTGTCCTACTCCGTTGTCTACCTGGGAAGCACTAGCTAAAACTCAGCTATAACCTGTGAAGGACCTTTGCAAATGAAGTGAGGGAGTACTATACTTTCTTTGTGTATCTGAACCCAAAACACCCACACTGTGTTCTCTCCATCCCTTTCCCTGTTAGTCTACTTGGAGACTGCTTGGGTACAGCAGTGGCAAGAGTTTTCATTCCAGAATCTTTTACTAGTTCCACTGAGACCATCTTGGTGCCAAAAAGTTAGAAAGGGTGGGCAGAAAGAGTACCTTGTGCTTGCAACTCCACTAGCACAACTTAGAGATGTATAAAACTATATACGGGGCTGCCCTGCACAACTGCTGCGCTCTGTACAAACCTGTGCTTCATTCAACATAGTCCTTAAAAGAAGCATCCCAGAAAATCTGAATTACAGAACAAGAAAGGACTGGTACTCCTCCACCGCTGCCCACTGCTTACACAAGCCACAGAATCTTCTTGCAGTTACCTCTCTTTTGAACTAGACTGAATCTGTTAGAAAAAGAGACAATCTCAATTTAGAAATGCCCAGTGATGGAAAATCTACTGCAGTACTTGGCAAATTTTTCAATGGTTAACTGCATACATGATTACAGTGTGAACCCATTTTCCAGACTGACTCCAACTTCTAGCCCTTGCTTTAGCTTTTGCCTGCTAGACTGAGATGCTTTCTATTATAGCCTTCTGTAGGTATGTACTTACATATTACAATCAAATCATTCATCTTCTCTGTGAGTAGCAGAATTGAACAGGCTCTTTTAATCTTTTAATCTACTATACTGTATGCTTTCCAGTCCATTAATGACTCAATGTATTTATCTAAGTCCTAATTTTCCAATATCCTTCTTGCACAGGGGTAACAAAGCAGACCACACTCTTTTAGTAATCAGGTCCAGACACAAAGTCAGCAGAACCTGCCCCCAAGAAAACTTGGTACCTCCTCATTCCAATGAGCCACAGGAGCCATTTGGCTATATCCTGATGCTGGAAACTCAGTAGGGCAGATTAACCATCAGGACCTGCATTATGCAATTAATATTTCTGAGGATAGTCTCCCCTTTTTGCTTCATTCCAGCTATGAGGTAATCCCAGTAAGTGCCTGTCGTCTTCCGGAGGTAACGTTCCCCTGCCTTAGTATTGCTGCTCATGTGAGTGGGAAATGGAGGGTTACCTGTCATTTCCCTTCCACAGCCCTGCATCCACTATGTTTTCTTTAAAGTCCACTGCATCTTTACTGACTCCTCACCTCAACCTCTCACCCAGAGACTGTCATTTATCAATGCCAGCTGGACCACCATCACTTCTCTCTGAGCTGCAGTAGAGATTGCAGAAAGTCAGTCAAATCTCATTTGAAGATTTAAACCAACAGAGAATCCAACACATCCCTTTGCAGAACATTCTAATGCTTAAATTCCCATCACAACTAAAAATCATAGTTTATTCCTGGGTAAATTTATCTAACAAGAATAATTTATAGCCCCTAAAGCTCCTTAAATTTAGCACAAAGTAGCTTGTATTCTATGGAGGATTCTAGAATACAGTTAAATGTAATAGTTTAATTTAAAGCAAATAGCTCCCAGAATCCTACTATTTCCCACATATCTGACATCAGTCAAAACTCTTTGGAGCAAAAGGTTATTTCAAACTACGTTTGATTTCATGCAGTGATAGAGCCTGCTTGGATGTTAGATTAGATCAACGGAACTTGCCGTAGAAAAGGCACATCTATCTCAAGCAAAAAAACACTTGCCTGTAAAGCATAGTGACTGAGATATTAAAGCATAGTGACTGAGATATACATTTCTTAGACTTAAGAGAACACTTAAATCAGGGCAGTGAAATTGTACACAGCTGTATGTGTGATTCCATTAGCAAAAGAATTGCAAAATTCCATTCTTGATGAACAGATAAGTTGAAAGAAATGAGTTCAGCTAGAAAAACAAGGCACTGCGGAAGTACTCCACTGCAGTACACGATCTACTCCATCAGCTCAATGCATGGTTGTTCTGTTTATGCTGTTTTGTAAAGACACTAAGTCTAGAACACTAGATTTAAAAACAATCAACACGATTGTCTAAAGCAAGCTAAACAGACAGGGTCTGTTGAGAAGTCATGCTGCAGACCATGAAGTCTTTCTAAGAAGAGTCCCAGGGCAGACTGGGCAGTCTGCAAAAGAATTGTAGTCATTCTGGTATGAAATAGAAGTTGTCACTCATCCATCATGTTATTTTATTAATATGAGAAAAAGAACAAAAATCATTTTACTAAATTAAATTATCATTCGCAGAAGTTGTGAAGAACAAGATAATGGATTCAGTTTGGGTTATAAGGCCCCCAGAGTTTTTATAAATTATCTGTAAAGATTGTAGGCACTTACTGTCCATTCTCAAGGTCCTTCACATGGCACACAGATGCTTCCACCACATCCTTTGGATTGTGGTAAGGGTTGCTGGCAATGGGATGTTCCTCAAGATGATAATGCCGGGCAGTCCCATTGACTTTGTAAACAAGTGGACTGGCTTTCCCATTGGGTGACATCTCTTCCCTGCTTCTATCCTTCTCAGGTATCACAACTTCAATTTTCACTTCAACTGCAGGAACAAACAGAAACTTTAATTAAAATGAAGCAGGAGGTTTTACTCTTCTCAACATGTCAGATCTGGCTTCCCGCCCCAACACAGACAATCTGTGCAGTAAGGAAGGAAATAGGTTAGAGATGGAAACCAGAGCCAGTAGGTCTCTGCCCTCTCACAGATCCATTGTCATGCTGCTTTGCTACATGTTGTGTCCAAGCTGAGCAACAATTAGGGAGTCAGCGATGAAGCAATGTGGCCTCTTCAAATGCCCTGCCCTTCTCCACTGCCACCACTACATTCATGCTCATAAACATATGCTGCACTGTAGATTCTTCTCCTGGCCTTCAGCCTTCTGACCTAAGCCGAGACTGTGAGGGGAAGGCACAGGGGCTGTTCCAGGCACACAGAATAAAGGCACACAGAAACAGTTCCTCTGTCTGGGAAGTAAGTCAATACTTGCAAAGTAGTCACAGAGTAACAAACATGAAGGCACTTGAACTTGTGTAATATAAAGTAGGGGAATTTCAGCTACAGCAAGGGCAACTACATAAAGATCCTCAGGAGGTGAGAAATGCAAATTAATGGAATTCACCTGAGTATGCTGGACACAAGAACATGGGGTGGGCTGAAGGGAGAAGATGGGGAAATGTCCAGGATGGAGCTGGGGGATCAGGCCTTGATGGCAGAGGATTTGGACAGTGAGTCCAGTCAAAATCCTGCTTTACAGGGACATGTGGATTGGAGAGAGGACCCCCTATTGCGATGGGGTGAGCTGGGGCAGAAAGGGGTAAGGTTGGAAGGGAAGCGCTGAACAGTCTGGGTTTGCTGGAGCATGCTTCCCTTTCCTGGCAAGAGAATTGTTGTGAAGGCATCTCAGCCAGGGCTGCGGCAGGCAGCAGGGCAGGTTGTTGGGGAGCCTTACTGAGGTTGCAGCATAGAGAGGGGCACCAAGTAGAGGAGGAGAAGTGAGGTCCTGTGCACCATGGACAGGACAGCCATGGCAGGAGAGCAGCAGCCACAGGTACAGGCAGGCTGGATGCTGGTGAAAGTCTAGGGGGAATGAGATAGCTGAGCAACTCTTAGGGAGAACAAATCTGAGGCAGTGACAAGTTTGGGGACTAGATCCTCGTGTTCACAGAAGAAAGGGATAGTTAGTGAATCCAAATGGATTTCCATCTATGTGGAAACAAAACTGAGGATGATAGTCATGTATTCACCTTGGGATGCAGGGAGTGGTGGCACCAACAAGTGACCTGTGTGGTTTCCTCCTCCATGATAGGACCATGCAGGGCCAGATCAGACTGACTGCCCTCAACAGGAGTGAAAAATGCAGGACTTTAGCAGGGAGATGACTGAGGAGGGGAGAATACAACCCAAGGGAACACAGCATGGCAATGGGCAGCCAGGAAAGTCTTCCATGCCTAAATGCCCTTGCAGGCACTAATGCTACATACAAGGCATACATACATACACACACACACAGAGCCATATGCATATATGTAGCCATGCTACATCTATGGCCATGGTCATCAAAAGGCGCAGGCAAGATAAGGCTTGTAGCCAAGGTGGTTTCTTCCACTAGATCAGCTAGTGTAATTGAAATCATCAGACCTGCCTTGGAGCACAGAAGCCTTCCTCAGTCAGGTCCAAAGACTGTATAGCTCTTCCAGCTATTCCAGTTGGTGTAATAAAAGATATTATGTCTACCTACGAAACCTGTCTCAGATGGAGATAGAGTGAAAGCATCCACCAATACTGGAAGAAACTGCTCTTCCAATCTAACCTCTGTCTTTCTGCTTAAGGGTCTGTAGCTGGTTAGCCCTTTCTTCCCTTTAAATTCAATGTTTCCATCCTGAAGGCAGCATATTTTTCTGACAATTTGGTGGGAGCACCTGATTTTCCTGTTTCACTTCAGCCCACAGCACGTCGCCTGGCTGTGGAATGTGCTGCCATGAGAGGTCAGACCCTCATGCTGTAATTTGCTTTAAAAACAGATTTTGCTTGACAATAACATTTTTAATCATGCTTGATTAGACTGAATGAATCAAACCTCCTGGGCATATATTAATCCTGTAGGGTCACAGAAGTGACTTCCATCCCCTTGACAGCCTGGCAACATGTGAGAAGGGTCTGCTTTTTGCTGAAGTACCAAATCCTAGCAATCAAGCAGAGGCAGGCTACAGCCTAGATGGTCCGATGAATGGATCCAGTAAAGCAGTTTGCTGGGTACCCATCCCTAACCAATGGAAGAGACAGAAAATGTGAATTTATGTTGCATTATTTTAACTGACAGCTGCAGGAATTACTGCAAACAAGTATGACCAGCTCTACACGTTTAAAAAAATACTTGCACCAAGCAAATTTCTTCCTAGAGCTCTACAGAAGCTTCAGTGGTACAACACAGCTTTCAGCAGGTGACCAGCAAAGAGACTGTTTTTCATAAGCAACGTTTTCCTAAAACATTTGGAAAAGTAGACATGGATTTTCCAGGACAGAATTATGAAATATAATCAATACCAATTTATGTCATTTCCAGTCAAAGAAACATGCGAATCATTTGATATGATTACATGTTTGATCGGTGAACTATCTGAAGAAAATGCAGTTGCACTTCCTTAAGGCTAAAAACTGATCAAAGGCATACTGCATAACAGGTGAGACTGGGGTTGCTAAAAATCCAGCATCAAAACAATACATCTTGGTTTGCATGAAAATGAAGTGCCCTTGAGCAGTGCCTTCATCTGCAGTTGCCCAGAGCAACAAGATGTCATGGAGTCAGGTGGTGGAATCCTGTTACAGGAAATTACTGCACTGGAAGACACCAGGCTGGGACTGGCAAATCTGGTGACTACAAGCCCTAGAAATGACGTTAAATTCATTGGTGCATGGAAGAAACACTCAAACCTGTCACTTGGACTGTTTTCTCAACAGTTTTCAAACTGCACTTGAATCAGGTGAGCAGAGCACCCAGATACACCCATGGGTGCATGATCCTCCATGGACAAAGATGGAAGTTTCCCCTCAGAAGAATATATGCAAGAAAGCAACACCCGTCTGGACACACGGTATGTTACAGCATTCCCAGCACTGATTCATTACTCAGTGAGAGTGATGACTGACATACCACTCAGCTTTGAAATAAAAGTCCCTCAGAAAAGAAAAAAAAAGGATGAAGTCTTATCCCCCACCTCCCATTTCAGGACCCATATTTCACCCCTTGTCTCTACGCATGGCAGCTCCTATTCCCCTCTCCCTGACTCTTTATTGCCTCTGAGGCCCCTGCCTTCACTCAGTAACTTCTCATCTCCATGCCACCAGCACCTCCCTCCCCAGTGCTGCCCTGCCTCTTCCTCCTCCTCCTGCCCAGTTCAGGCTGCAGCCCAGCGTGGGGTAGCTCTCTGGCCAAAGACCTGCATTCCCATGTGCTGATCCCTTCTGGAATCCAGGGTTCAGTGGTACCTGAGTTTATCCAGGAAACTGGCTCTGTTTTGATCAGAGAAAATGACATTTACATGAAAGATATTTATAAAAACAAGTTTAACTTTTGAAGTCAATTGGCATTATGCAAATACATTCAACCTGCTCCATCCTTCTGTCAGTAATTTTAAAACCTGCTAAAAGAGGTTCCATAGCTTAAAGTGAACTGTTTGGAAAGTGTTACGCACATGCATATAAATCTATTGCTGTCTGTGTGGTTGCTGACTCCTCCTGGACTAGCCATAGGCAACGCTGTAACACAGCTTGAGATTCTTGGAAGTGGGAATGAAGATGATCGTTATCTCTCAGGGCAGAGCAAATGCTATTCTGCATGTATATATGTGTGTGTGTATGTATATGTGTATATATATGTATACATGTATGTATTTATGTGTGTGTGTGTGCATATGTGTGCATTTAGGTATAAACATATATATGAAACACCTTAGCAGCAGGCCAGGGCTGGAAGTATTTTATAAGAATATACAAAAAAGTAGCTGGACAGGTTGAGTTATTTTATTTGCAGATGCTAATACTGCATATCAACAGATATCGCAGGTTACTCCCACGTTTTAAGTCTTTAGGCCTGAGAGCACTACTGAGACACCTTTGCGTATGTCCAGAAACCTCATCCCAGCACTGGGCAGCTCCTTTCATATCACAATTGACTGTTCTTTAGTTTCACACTGTAAACATGATGTTTTCATGTGTTTTCTCCTACAGCCAGTAGTCATTAAAACCTGGGAGCTGGTCACTACTACTCCATTATACTTCAAGTAAATTAATTCATTCTTAAACATTATTCCTATCAATCTCTTGCCTGGGACAACTGAAAACCTCTTTGCCCACTTTTAGCCAGGTACCTGAGCCATAAGGTTGCAAGCTGCAATAAACTAGTGAGTGGGAGAAGCTGTGAGTGACCACCCGCTGTGATAGCAGGATGGGGAGCCTGATGCTCTAGTCTAGTGGTTAGGGATGTTCACTGAGAGAAAGGCATCTCTGTGCCCAGCCCTACTCTAGGGACTTTCATGCTTTGTATTTAAGAACTGTTCCAGGTGAAATTCACAGCTCTAGCCCTAGGAAGCATCCAGTCTAGAAAAAAGTTAATACTGGAAGGAGCTGCAGAAAAACCAACAAGCAATCACAGCAGCTAACACAGAATAGTCTTCTGTGTGGGTGTTGGTGCACCATGATCCTCTTTATCTATCATCTTGGCTTGTGATGCCTCTCCTGTTGGAGTGGGAGCTGAGATCTCACACAGATTGCCAGATGGCAATGTGAAGTTCATTATGTATGCATCATGCACCCTGACAAAAATGGAAAAAAATTATGCAGATTGAGAATGAGGCCTTCAGAATAGTGCCTGGAGTTATGTGATTGCATCACCAGAGAGAATAAAAGATGACTCCAGTACTTAAACATAAGCTTTTAACTAAACACTTAAATATCAGGATAGGGTTGGGTTCTGCAGCAATAGTCACACTTGTACTGGTTGTCTGTTCAGCAAAAGGTCCTTCTGGAATACAGTAATATGTGTGTAATTTCAAGGTTATCTTGAGAAATGCTGAGGGTATTCAGAAGGACTGAGGGTCTCTTGGATATAACAAGATGGGAGCAGATAAGAACCTCACATACGTCTTTCAAAAGTATCTAAATAAATTAAATCCCATTGACTTCAGGATAGTATCTAAAATATTCCCTTCATGTCAAAACATTATTGATAGAGAAGACAGCTTCATTTTGTCCCCTGCCCGGCCTGCTTCTCATTTGTACAGGGGATGGATGGATTTTTAGAAATAGGAATGTCTACCAGTTAGCCATACAGTTCACTGTTCCTGCAAGAAACGTGAAAGGCAAGTATTTTTAAAAAGTTGTGAAACCTCTTGGCCAGAACAGTCAGTAGCTGCAAATGTATCTCTGTTTATCTTATTGCATTTGGAGGTTTTATAATCACTGAGATGAAGCACTTCCAGTCAGTGGTGTGCAAACAAGGGGCTAGGGAAAGGCTTGTCAAAAGCTTTTGAAAAGTACTAATCAAAAACAGACTTACAGAAAGAGGGTTACATTACAGTAGGGCATTTTCGATCATTTGCCCTGCTATGCAAATACAGCTCTGCATGAAAATATGCACTACAAGAAATATGCCTGCAGAGCTTTTATTCCTGTATTGGTCTAAGATAAAACAGAATTTTGCTGATGGTATACAAAATAAAAAGGAACTGCCAGCAGCTTGTTACAGGTTTAGTCAGTGACGACATTTATTCCTGGATGTGTTTTCACTCCTTAGAGATTTCAAGGACATGAAACAGTGTGGCTTTTCCACAAAGGAAAACCGATGAATCTGAAAACAGATATTTAATCATAGTATCCAATACTATAGTTTCTGGGCACTATAATGACCAGTAACATAATCACAGTATAGGTGAATCCCAGAAGCCAAACTTTATTTTTCTCTTTGCCTCTCAGAAACCACCCACTGCAGTCTCAAAGACAGCTTGCATGCCAGTGCCTTGCAGAGCAGTGGAACAGAGGACTCCATTTAGTGGATACTTGGTGGCTTGCAAACCTGACCTGTATTGCACCACCAAACTTTCTGAATCTTTCAGCCTGATGTCCCCACTTTCTGAGATAATGAAAACAAACTGCCAACAAAAGGCCCCCAAAAGATATTTTCTACCCACCAAAGCTACATGCGGATGACTGATTGATCAGACAGATGAGTGCTATTATCTCCTCCAATTTCACTTGTGCTTGGACATAAGCAGTTAACAAGGACAGAGCAGCAAGCACCCTCACAAGTGCTCACAGCAAGTCCTTCTCAGGTGGCTAAAATGAGCCAAAGAAAGAGAGCTCTCCTCAGAGGCAGCTGAGGTAATGCCAGATGCAACAACTTCCCTTGGAAGAGACCCAAGTCCCCAGCTCCAGTACCTTCTGCCTCTAGGTATCAGTGCTAGGGCTTTCTTCTTGCTGCTGCATATGAGGACCTACTAAAAATTAGCGCTCATACTTGGGCTCCAGAGAGGTTTCATGATGCCTGTTCATGCCCACACTCTAGCTAGGCACTCAGAAAAAGGCTTAAAAGGAGTCTTTGCTCTTTTTACACTAGACCTCCCTTGACCAGCCAGTTTTGCTTATATGGCCTACACTTTAGCCATTTTCTCTCTTACATATCCCCACCTTTGCCAGACACTGAGAAAATAAAACACTCCAAATCTGAATTTGGCAAAAGGAGATACTGAGCTAAGCATCCCGCACATGGCAGCCCTGTGGCTGTCCCTCAGCTCCCAGGCACACCTCCTGAGAGGACAATCAGAACAGGAGCAGGGAGCCCACACAGCAGAGCTGCAGAAGGAGAACGTCCAAAGTATACTTCAGGAGTTTGCAGAAACAGAGAAAGTATCCTCGAGATCCAGGTGCCTAAGGCTGATTTACATGCCAGAGGTAACATGCATGGTATTTCCTGTGTACTGCTGCTAAAGAAAATAAAATTCACATAACAGAGCACTATCTAGGAAATGGCTTAGGCTACTGTGACTGTGAAAACAATAAGAAATCAAGAAGTAGATGGTCTTACTCTCTTCCAGCAGAGGCAAAATTCAGGGCTTGCCAGTGACTAGCAAAGTCACAGCATCAAGAAAGGTTCTTGTGAAAGAGTCACAAGTATCTATACTAGGACTGGTATCACACAAACTCATCCTGGGGCATGAAGGAACCAGTTCCGTCCCCATGAATTGCAGGGAGGCAGAAAGCAGCACCCAAAAGGAAGCACAGAAGCAGGAAAGGTCATTAAGTGGATTGAGACACAGGCCAGGAGCTGCACAAGAGGTAGAGGAGGCTCAGGCATGGCACGCTACTTGCTTGGATGGAGTTACAAAGCAGTTGAAAAGCAGCTCATGGGAATCACAGCAGATGAGACAGCTGAGGACAAATTAAGTGGGAAATATTCCTATAATTTTTGATTTGTCTTTGAGCTCAGAACAGCTTTGGACAGAATGCTTGCCCTTGACTCATACCATGACTGACTCCCCTGCTCAGCTCTCTTTCCTCCCATCACTTGCTGTGACTCCATTTCACTATATCTCAGAGCTTCCCCCAAAAGCACTGCTAAAGCCTTTGCACAATTCCTTGCATGCAAGTGAAAGTGCAAAGGAATTCTGAAGGGATTAACAGGTCCATAATCCTCCCCACAGGAGCAGAGAATTAACATTCTCCAAAGCCTGCTCCTATGGAGACCACTGCATGGCTGACCTACTTTAATCTGCAGCTGCAGAGGCTGCCGTGTGACAGTAGCAGAGTGCTGAAGAGCAGTCACCTGGTTTGGGCTTGGAGAAGCATCCTCCTCCCATGGTGAGCCAAGCAGCCAGAGCAGCGCACCGGGAACAAGAGGTGAGGCAAAGAAAGGCAGCAGCCCACACGCTGGCCAGATGTGTGCGGCACGGGCTGAGCGAGCAGGTCAGCAAGGGTGCTGGCACATCCTCTCATGACAAACTGCCTGCTCATATCATCCTGGGCTTCAGTCTTCCTTTACAACCTGTAGGGGATAGAAAAGCTCCATGAGAATTCAATAAATCTGTGTATTACACAGAAGGGAAACAAACCCAGCAACCCAGCTGTTGTTTCTCCAAACAGCTGCACAGATGAGCTTAGGAATAAAAGCATTTAAGATGCAGCAAACTCAGGGGCAAGTTATACTGAACTCAGTGTCACAGAATAGTTGGGGTTGACAGAGACCTCTAGAGATCATGTGGTCTAACTCCCCTGCTCTAGCAGGTTAGCTAGAACAGGTTGTCCAGAATCATGTCCAGTCAGATTTTGAATATCTCCAAGGATGGAGACTCCACAACTTCAGGACTCCCAGGTCCTTCTCTGCAAAGCTGCTTACCAGCTGGTTGGCCTCCAGCATGTACTGGTGCCTGAGGTTATTCTTCCCCAGGTGAGGAACTTTGCACTTCCCTTTGCTGAACTGCATGAGATTCTTCCCTGCCTATTTCCCCAGCCTGTTGAGGTCCCTCTGAATAGCAGCACAACCATCTGGTGTATCAGCCACTCCTCCTCAAATGTCTCCAACTCAAAGTCTACAAATATCAGGCACCTGTTTGCAAATTACTTAATTCACTGGGACCTAGAGTCCTCAATTTCAAGAGAAGTGATCATTCTCACACTATGGAATTAGTTTCTCTCATACAATTTCTGCCTGTATCTGTCCCACAGTCTGACACTAGCCTGAGATATGGTTCCAAGTGATCATACCCCAGCAGCTAAAGCCTCATGGTATGTTTTTCAAAGGAGCCTGGGGGAGGCATCACCCTTGCTTTCCAGGAGAGGTAGGTTTCAAACTGCCCAGGCAATTCGGAACATGCTTTTTGGAGCAACTTTTCTAGATACAACTAGGGCAGCAGCTTTCTTGTGAACTGGCCAGAGAAACAGTATCTAACTTTACTTTAGAAAATACTTTCACAGAATCAAACAATCATAGAATGGTTGAGGTTGGAAGGGACCTCTGGCCATCACCTAGTCCAACTCTCCTGCTCAAGCAGAGTCACCTAAAGCAGGCAGCTCAGGACCGTGTCCAAACAACTTCATCCCCAGGGATGGAGACTTCACAGCCTCTCTGGGCAACCTGTTCCAGTGTTCAACTACCGTCACAGCAAAGAAGTGTTTTCTTGTGTTCAAGTGGAATTTCCTGTGCTTCAGGTTTTTCTTGTGTTTCAGTTTGTGCCAATTGCCTTTCATCCTGTCACTGGGCATCACTGAGAAAAGTCTGGCCTCATCCTCTTTACATCCTCCCTTCAGATATTTAAACGCATTGATAAGATCCCCCCCTCCCCCCGAGCCCCTTTCCTGTGTTGTCTTAACATGACTCTAGCAAGTTCCAATTCATTATCATTTATGACAGTATGCTAGAGGCCCACAATGGCATGCACATTTAAGAAATGGTTCCCATTCAGAACAGACAATGTCAGAGCACAGGATGGAGGAAGGTGCGCAATAGATCAAAAGGTGACTTGAGTGACAACTGGAAAACATGATGCCAAGGTCACAGTTCATAGAGTTGCTGATAAATACAATTATAATTCTAAATGTTTAAAATTACAAAACTCATATCATTTATGTTCAGACTTTAATAACATTCCACAGCCCTGCCTTTGGAAGTTAAATCTTTAAGCACTTAGGCCTCAGCCCAAATACAATGATTGAACTATAAATACATTTCAGTCAGTTTCTTTTTTGTTAGTATTAGGTGATGGGAAAAAGCTACTTCACTGCTTGGTCCTGAAAGTTCTTACTCCTTCCAATAACACCTACTCCTGCAGAAATCTCATTCATTTTGGAATGCTTGCTCATTCGAAAAAAGGTTTTCAACATCAGGCCATTTGCATTGAAAAACAGTATTTCATATTATTAAGTCAAGATCTTTTAATTTTAAGTAGGATGGGCAAACAGGCCACATCAAATTATATTCATCTCATTAACTTTGAACAATATTGCTCTCAGATTTTGGTACAAACTAAGATCTACAACAACCCTGAAAATAGCAAAGATTTCTGCTGATGCATGCAAAAAATAGATAATTTAGTAAGTCTTCCTACATTACAAAAAGGAGAAGATTCTACCCATTTACACCTGCACTTGAACTGGTTTACTGTGGTTTTGCCATATATTTTTCACAAAGGCTTCCAGTCTGGATAGGAAGGTAAAACTGCTTTTCAAGGAACATCTTTGCACAGGTACATTATACTTCTCTTTAACTTTGATCTTAGAAGTGTCTAAATACCTTTCAAATAAGAAGAAAATAAAGAAAAATAAAAATTGTATTGCAATTTCTCCCCAAAGAATGAATACTTTGCAAAGTTATGGAAAAAAAAATCAATAATTTGCCAGAGATAGGCCTATCTGTGATAAGGAAGGCTCCTGAGATCAACAAATGCTAACCACTCATGTTTAGCTAATCTTTGAATAGGTGACACGTCAGATAGAAATGCCCTTCATTATCACCAAGCTAAGCACTTCATGCATGTTTATCTTTACAAGATAAGACAATAAAATATTATTCTGCAGAACACACCCTGCCAGAGAGGTTAGCAGTTACATCATCACTCAGTTTAGTTAAATAGTGGGAGTTTAAAAAAAAAACCTCCAGGCAATTCTGCCCACTTCCAAGCTTATCCAGCCAGCAGCTTCAGCACACCGCCGGAGTCAGCTGGCTAAAAGCACAGGGGAAGAAGCAGTGTCTCAAGTAAACTTTTTATGGCATGAAATAGGGCTGCTTGCAGCTTCTCTAGAAGATCTGCTGCATTCTCAGGAGGCACAGTCACCACTGCTGCATCGTATCTCCACATAACCCACAACCACACACATACCCCAGTTGCTTTGCCTATAGAGCATTTCCAGAGCACATACGTCTTCCTCAAAACTGCCTCAAAACATCGCAAATGTATCCTTTAGTTAAGCAGTGACACAAAATAACAGATATAGCTTTTCTGTTTAAGCTATATCCCTCCAAAACATACACTCTCATCCCTGCATACTTACAAACTGGCCTCTGCACTCAAGAAAGCCCAGAGGAAGCAATACAACTACCAGGACAAGCCGTGTGCTGCATGGGAGAACTGTGGGTCCCATACGTGCCTCACTGCAATAAGCCCAGCTCCTCTCCAGTAGGACTGCCATGGGACTCATTTCCAGCTGGTCTGGTTGGTTTTATGAGGGATTCTGCAGGTGCTGCCTGAGCTCCTGCCCATCAGCCATTTGTCTAACATGACTTGCTCTTGTTCGGTCTTCAGAGATGGCCATATAAAGTAATATCCTCAAGTCCACTTCACCTTCTAATTCCCCCACCAACAGTCCCATCAAGCCCTTTAGAGGTGTCCTGGCCGACTGGGCTGAGGCACACATGCAGTGCTCAGGCTGGCTGGCCAGCCAGACACTATCTCTTGGAGCAGGCAATAGCAGAGCAGAGCGCACACTTTTGGGTCTCTCTCCTCTGCCCAGCCACTCATCTTCACAAAACTTGCAGGAACTTAAAGGCCAACAGGCTAAAACGTACAGGAGACTGACAGAAAAGCAGAAAGAGAGCACAACCACAAACACTTAATTCCTGTAGGCTATAAAAAGGCATCAGTGTAGAAGTCACTTCACACACAAGTTAAATATGGAGAAGGGAAACCACAGAGGCTGAGGGCAAGCCACATATATCTAATCAGTTTAAACAAAACAGATGTTCATTTCCAGAGTGCTGGCGTTAACCAGGCAAAAGCAAAATGATTCTTGGTAGGATACCAGCTAGAGGTACCAGATAAGAAAACATTTAGCTCTCCACAGCCTCAGTCCCAGCAAGCACATATAAATGTTTCAGAAAGTCGCTTGAGACTCAGCTTGTTGTGGACACATTTCAGCCTGCTACACAAGACCAACTAACAAGACGTGCTGGAATCATGCCACCACTAGTGACATTCAGAGGTACAGATCTGGAATCAGCACGACACAGTCCTGCAGGAAATCATGGCCAAAACCTCCTCTCTGTTAGGAAAAAGGGAAATAAACTGATATAAAACAAGATGGAATTGTAACTCACTACAAGACCATCCATGAAACCATGATAACTTTTGAAGGGCAATGAACTGACCTAGAGAAGGTAAGGCAAGAGATCTTCATGCCTCAATAAACCACTTTTTAATCTACTCCCTGAAAAAAACCACCTTCTGTGCTATACACATGAACAGGAACACCTCAAGCATCTGCTACAAAAGGGCAACAAGGACATGGTTACCAAAAAATATAAGGCAACTACTGTGGTACTGAGGAACATACTATCCCATCTCAAAATATTTCTGTGTGAACAGAGAATCAGCCTTGCAATATGTTGTCCATGAAACGAGTCTCCAGCATCATCCAACAAGAAAGTATATTACCAGAAGAACTATGATGCTCCTAAACAGAAGAAGAAATGTTGAAAAGTAGTCAGTGTTACTAACCCTAAGCACTTTCAGCACACAGTAGCTTAAATGTAATATTGCAACATTCAGTTTTTACTGCAAGAAAGGGATATAAAAACAAAAGAATTACTGTCCAGGCCAGCCCAAATGTCCATCTTTACCCTCTTTGACAGTGGCAAACAGCACTTACAGGTCACAAGCATGCAAGAACAAGGCAGACATACAATGATACTTCAACCTGCCTTTCTTGACAGGTTCAGGCAATCTATGCCTAGAGTTTAGGAGCCAGAGGTTGCACCATTTTTGAGAGAAGGAACTAGTACTGCCAATGGTATTATTAGCATCATATTTACCTCTCTGATTGCTGCTGAGCCCCAGGCCACTATTTTAATTGAACACTCTTCTGTGACTCCAAAATCTTTTCCAAGCAGTAAGTTCATATGTATATATTATACATTGTAGGTATAATTAGGATTTTTCCCCTGAGCGTTAGTTTGTGTTTACTGAAATTGAATGTCATTTTATCATCTAGTCACTCCGTATCATGATATCCCATTGCAACATTTCACAGTCAGCATCTGTTTATGACTAACCA